AACAACCATGAGATATCATCTCACCCCAGTCAGAATAGCAAAATTTAACAGAACAGCAAGCAACAAATGCTGGCGAGGTTGTGGAGAAACTGGAACCATTATTCACTGTTGGTGGGAGTGTAAAATGGTGCAACCACTGTGGAAGGCGGTATGGCGCTTTCTCAAAAGTTGCAAATACAGATGCCATTTGACCGAGCAATTCCCCTACTGGTAATATACCCCAAAGAGACTACAACCTACATCCAAGCAGAAATATGCACACCCATGTTTATTGTGGCTTTGTTCACAACAGCGAGGAGTTGGAAACAAACTAAGTGCCCATCAACAAACGAATGGATAGAGAAGCTGTGGTATATTCACACAATGGAATACTAGGCTGCATTGAAAAACAAGGAACTCATGCAATAGTATTCAAAATGCGTGACCCTGGAAGACATTATGCTGAGTGAAGTATCTCAGCCACAAAAGGACAAATACTGCATGGTGCTACTGTTGTAAAACAGGACTGACCTCAGTGTTGGGTGGAGACTGAGAAATATGGCTTCAATAATGTAAACTACATTGAAACAGATGAGGGAGAAAACTGTTTAAAAATGATATGTGACTAGGTATTTTTGTCATGACGGGAGTCCAGAGTGAAGGCTGCATATTGGAGTGGACTTGGGGAGGGTTTGTAAAACAATGAAAGAATTTTTCTTTTGCTTTTCCAAGACGGTATTGTACTAGAGGGAGGGTTGGGACGGGAGAAAAGTGCAACAACGAATGAAAGGAAATCCAAAGTCTCTGTAAATTTTCATTGAAAATAATAAATTTTTAAAAAAGACTAAAGAAAAGAAAGTTTCCCCAAGGAAGACAACTTTATTACAGTCAAAGATTAAAAGTAACATTTAATTCCTAGGGAGATCCAGAGAACTCCCTTATTGTAATATTATACAGGCCATTTTTGTTTTTATTTTAATGAAAGTTTGCAGACTTAGGATTTCCAGTCATTCATTGTTGCACTTTTCTCCCTTCCCACCCCTTCCACTCCAATTAAGAAAAACTCTTTCACTGTTATACTATCCCCGGCCCCCAAGTCCACTCCACTGGGCAGCCTTCATTCTGGACTTCTTTAATGACAAGAATACCTATTCACATGTCCCTTTTAAACAGTTCTTTCCCTCATCTGTTTCAATGCAGTACACATCATTCCTCCTTTCCTTTTCTGTTTTCCCTCAACCCTGATGTCAGTCCCATTCTTGAATATGTGCTCTCTCATTCTTCATTATACCTGGTAAGTTTCCCTCCTTCCACCACATTTTCAGTGCCTTCACTTGCTTCTTCCTGTTCTGACATTCCAATGATGTACATGTTATTTCTTTTGATGGTGTCCCACATTATTCTTAGGTTTTCTTCTTTTTACTTTCATTTTTCGTCTGCTTTTTGCTCTATCTTCTATTTCACTGGTTCTGTGTTCCATCTCTTCAACTCTGCTCACATGTCCCTCCATTATGTTGACAGCCTCTGAAACATTGGACCTCATATATTTTATCATGGTGTCTTGTTTTTCCAGTGCCGCTAACATCTCGTTTGTTTCATCTACATTCTGGATTGATTTTTTTTTTAGCTCCTCCTGGTTTTTGCTTGTAGTATCCTGTAATTCTTCAAGTTTGTTGCTCATCCATTGCAAATATTCAATCACTGTTCTTTTAAATTCTGTATTGGAAAGTTCCATCAGACTTTCTGGCTTCAGGAAATCTATTGATACTGTGTTACCCTCTGGGAGAGACATCTTGCTTTGTTCTTGTGTATTGTGTGGGATAGCTTGCTTTCTTCAAGATATTGATATGTTCTTGATCTGAAGACAATTCTCTAGAGATCAATTGGGCAGCTTAACCCACTTATTTGTTTCTCTGAACTTCTGACTCCAGGGAAATGTCAGTTCAGAGTCTGTGAGAGTAGCCTCTTACAGGTAAGACAGGTCAAGGTGCTCTGGATTAAAGGCAGGTTGATTGACCAGATGCATAGGCACAGGTGTGAAGCCAAATGGGGTGGGGCAGGCACAGGAGTGGGGTGATCACAAGGGCTAGTCAACCACTTGGGGACCTTACTCAGACCTCAGCTGTCCCAGTGTGCTCACGATTGGGGACCCTGCTCAGATTCCAGCTGTTCATCTCCCACTCAGCAGTTCTCACTCAGTGGTCTCTGTCCAGTGGCACTTATGCAGGTGCCCTTGTGCAACAGTCCCTGCCTAAGCAGGGTCCTGGGTTCAATGAGACCCAAGAAGTCAAAGTCAAATTCCCACCAACTCACTCGCCTCTTGCTGCTCTGCAGTGTCCACAAAAGTTCAGACAAATTACCACTCCCACTCCTTCCTGGACAGTCGTGTGGCCCAAGAGAGCTCGGCCAAATTCCCACCAGTGGGCTCAACCTTGGGTGCTCTCCCAGGCAGTCAGCAGTGCCAAGAAAATCCAGCCAGGGTCTTACCAGCCTTCCCAATCGTGGGGACACAGAAAAATTCAGTCCAATTCCAACAGACCCACGGGGTCTTATCAGGGCTTAATAGAACTCACCCAGTATCCACCAACCTTTCTCCTGCCGGATCAGTCCGACAGCAGCTCGCGGGTGACTTCCGTTATGGCCGAGTGCACATGGTTTTGTCCTCCCGCAGCTCCTCCTACTGTCCACGTTGCCACATGTCGGTTGGTCTCTGTGCAGTGTGAAGGACTCTAGTGTCCCTGGGGCGTAGCCGTGGGGCGGGGTTGGCTATCAGTTCACAGATGTCAAGCTGCCAAGTCACCCATCCTCAGTACATCAGACCAGGCCCCACACCTCTGTGCCTGGCCCCGCGCCTCTGCGCCCAGCCCCACAAGTCCATTTTGAGGCTCAGAGAACTCAAAGCCAATTTTCCCGACTCCAGAGGTCACACTGCTCTTTTAAAGATTTAGAGATAACCTAAAGGACTAATTTACATCTTTATTTTCTTTATAAAGGGCACACTCACATACACCCAATGTCATGTGGCATAAATGGTTCATATCTGTATATGTCTTTCAGAGGCTTGTGTGTGAACATATGTATTTATGCACGTATGTGTGTAACTGAAGAAAACTTTTAAACCTTTCCTTTTGAGTGGTTCAAAGATGACAGAAACTATTCAGGAATCAACCAAATGTTACAAAAAGTATCTCTTTTCTTGGATATCTATAGCTGACTAGGGAATGATGAGCAGTATAAAATACCATTTAACCTTTATACCTACCTCTGCATTCCAAAA